GTCCGAGGCGGACGGGATGGAGTCGATTGAGNGCCCCGCAAGCGTCGAGATGAAGGCCGGTCAGGGGCAGCACTCGGGNGGCCTTCGAGCTCGTTAGGCGCCGGCCGCCATCTCGGCGCGATGGTGGCGCAGCGACGTGAGGAGCGACAGGACCGCACCGGCGACAAGGTCGGCGAGCGCCGGGTCGCTGTCGGCCTCCTGCGTCGGGGCAGCGAGTCGGGGCAGCAGAGCGGCGAGGCAATCGAGCATGAGCGCAGCACGAGCATCGGGGCGGAGGAGTCCCGTCGCGCGGGCGAGGACCATGTCGAGCGTGTGCCTCCAGGCCTGCAGCGAGCGCCTCCGCGCGTGGGCGATGGCGCGCTTGGCATTCTGGGCGCTGGCCCAGTGCAGGACGAAAGCCGACTGCTGCATGAACGGGTCGCCTTGGCCAGCATCGCGCAGCGCGCCCTGCTGCTGAAGCACCGCCTTTTCGCGGAAGAGGATCGACAGCACCGCCTTGAGGTCGTATACGCGCGGGCCGACGTCGGCGTCGGCGCGGCGGGCAGTGTCGAGCTGCTCGGGCCGAACGATGGTGATGCTCTGCCCGATGGCGTCGCGCTCGTCGCTCCAGAGGAAGTCGAGGCTGTGCAGCATCTCGAGGAAGCGGACGCCGCCAAAGGTCTGGGCGCCGACGGCACCCTCCAAATTGTGATGCGGGATCAAGGCGAGCACCTCGTCCTGCTGCTCCTCGAGCTCCGACGCGCCGCCGACCGTGACGCCGGCACCGAACAGCGCCGCGACGAGCTTGGATGCGCGTGAGGGCATGCCGGCATTGACGAGGGTGTGGAGCTCGAGTGCGGCGAGCTCGAGAATGTGTCCGCGGAGGCGCAGCGAGGCCACCAGCGAGTCAACCGTTGTGGGCACCGCCTCGCCGTCGGGGAAGCGGACGAGGCCGAGCGCAGAGGAGCTCGACTCGGCGGCCGTCCTTTCGGCCGGCAGCAGCGAGATGGTGCGCAGCTGTGCAACGAAGAAGTCTTCGCGCTGCCGCAGGTAGCGAAGCGTCGATGAGCTCGTGAACGGATGCGTGCAGAGGCGCAGCATGAGCGCGTAGCACTTTTCCGCGAGGCCGGGCGATCGCTCGGCGAGGCTGAGGTAGCTCGAGGCCGCACCGGCCTCGTCGGGGCGGAGCAGGTCGAGGATGGCGTGGAGGGCGCTCGGAGGGCTGTCGGGCGAGTCCGGGTCGGCGATCACCTGCTCCTCTGGCTTGAGCGCGCGCAGGTCGTAACCGAGCAGCAGGTGGGCGACGTTGGGCGCGGCCTGATCGAGCGACGTGCACGAGAGCAGCAGGTTGAGGATGGCAAGCCGGATGGCCTCGACGGCGTCGTTGGCCGGTGCGACGAGGCCGTCGACCTCGGAGCTGTTCTGGCCGTCCGAGTCGTCGTCCTCTCCGGCCAGCGCGAGGAGCGCCTGGACCGAGGCGTCGGATGCGTCTGGGTCGGCCGAGGGCTCGGCCTCGAGCCGGCCCACGAAGCCGGCCCGGACGCGGTTGGCCTCGTCGCTCATCTCGAGCAGGCCGACGAGGCGGTTCATCTTGCGGCGGTAGCCCATGTCTGCAAACCTGTCGACGGCGCTGAAGGCGGAGCTGCGTGCGATGAGCGACAGTAGGCGCACCGAGAGGAGGGCGATGTCGTCGCGCTGGCAGTTGACATAGAGGGCGATCTGGACGACGCTCTCGTGGGCGTGGAGGAGCTGGTTGTCGAGCGAGGTGTAGGCGCCCGGGTTGCCCACGCGGGCGTTGACGTCAAACGGCAGGCTCAGGCCGAGCGAAGGGGCATCATTGAGCGTCGGGACCAGCAGCTGAAGGAAGATGTTTTGGATCCGCAGCACCCTCTGGACGATGCGCAGGGCGTGCTTGACCGCCGCCGGGTAGAAGAGGGTGCGGGCCTTGTTCTGGTTGATGGCCTCGAAGCCCGCCATGCCGCCGCCGGGGACGAGCACGTTGAGCACCTCGCGGATCAGCCGGTCGTCGACGAGGAGGCGCTTCATGACAAAGAAGCCCGGGTGCGACGCGAGGCGGGCCAGCACAGCCGGATCCGAGACCGCCTCGGAGCCGGTCGACTCGTCGACGGCGAGCAGCGCCGACAGGTCGTATGAGTTGAGGGCGCGCTCGATAAAGTCGAGGCACGACGAGATGATGCGCCACTGCTCCGAGGACTTGGTGTACTCGCGCGACCGGGCCTTGAGGAAGACGTGGTCGACCACAAACGCGACGTACGGCTCGACGGTCCGACCGCGCTGCTGCTGTTGCTGGAGGTGCTGCTGCTGTTGCTGCTGCGACTGCGCGCCGCCGACGTCGTATGACGGCTGGGTGCCCGGAAGGCCGACCATGGAGCTGAACGGGTTGGCCGAGGCCGACATTGGCTGCACGGTCAGGAGGCCGGCGACGTCGCGCGGCTGCGGCGGCACCTGGATGAGCGCCTTGAGGAAGTTGACAAAGCTCGTGGTGCCTGGGAAGCGGCGATGGGGCGTCTCCTCGTGCTCGAGCTCGAGGAGCACACCACCCTCTGCCGGCTGGCGGACGCTGCCGGCCCTGGCCTGCGCAGCCTCGACACCCTCGATGACGCGGCTGGAGTCGAGCCGGTTCCAGAGGTCGGTGGCGATCGACGAAAACTTGGAGCCGGACCGGACCGAGTTGTGGGCGAACGCGGCCATGGCGTCGAGCACCGACGCCTTGAGGTCGATGGGGATCGGGCAGGTATAGAGCGCAAAGAGCCGGTCGAGGGCGGCGTAGGCCGTGTTCTGGTGGAGCGAGTCGCGCGCCGCGCTCGAGTAGTAGACGACGTTGCGGAAGAGCTGGAGGAAGCCCTTGAGCAGAACCACCTCCTCGGGCGGCATGCCGACGCTGGCGGCCACCGCCTTGTCTGCGGCCTCGGCCTGGGCCTGGCGGAAGGTGTCGACGTAATAGCTGATCCACTCAAACAGGCGCGACCAGGACACGAGGCGGCCCTCGGAGCCGCCGCCGACGCTCTCCTGGTCGAGCAGAGCGTACGCCTGGCTGGCGCTCTGGGTGCCGGACGACAGCGCCGCCAGCATCTGGAGCAACGCGCGCTGCTGGCCGTGCTCCCGCACGTCGACGGCCCACGAAAGGAAGCGGGTGGTGCGCTTGTCGTGGCCGATCCAGAAGGGTAGCCCGGACTCGGGCCTGCCGCGACAGAGGAGCGCAATCAGGTCAAAGAGGGCCTCGATGTCGTACCGACGCGTCTGGTGGGTGACGGCGGCGCCGCCGCCCCGGCCGGTCTGGCCGCGCGAGATGGCAAACGCGGCATCTTCCTCGGACCTCTGCAGCTTACGCAGCAGCGTCAGCATCACGGTCGTGGTGCTGAGGACGAGGTTCTGCACCTGCTGAACCACGTATTCGCGGAATTCGGCGTCGACCTCTTCCTCGGCTCCGCGGCCGTCGACGTCGGCAGGAGAGCGCACGACGTCGATATCGCCCGCCTCCTCCTCGGCGCCGTCGAGGCTTTCGAGCGCCCTCTGACGGAAGGCCATGACGTTGTCGATGAGGTAGACGAAGGCACCGCCCTGCGGCCCCTCTCCCGCGGCGCTGCCCGTGGCCAGGCCTGCAGCGCTGTCGCGCGAGAGCGGCGAGCCGGCGATGGCGCGAAGCACGAGGTCCTGGATCTGCTCCTCGCCGATCGACATGTGGACACGGAAGCTCGGGTTGCGCGAAAAGGCCTCGACGAGGAAGATGGACCACTGGAGTGCGACGACGCTGTTGAGCTCGCCATCGCCCCACCGCTTCTTTGTGATCTCGATGTGGGTGGACCCGATGAACGAGTCGTCGTCCATCAGGCTGTCGACGGTGCGCCGGAGCGTGCCGCGGGCCGCTCGGTCGGCCATGGGACCGCGGGCGTCCGGGTTGGTATCGATGGCGCCGAGCAGCGCGGTGAGGACGTAGATGCTCATCTCGTCGGACTGCTCCGGCTTGACGGCCGCCAGCCAGCGGACGAGGGCGGTGATGCTGGGAGTCGAGAGGAGCGAAGAGACGGCGAGGAGGTAGAGCATGTGCCCGAGCTCGCGTCGCTCCTGCTGCAGCCAGGCCAGGCGCTCGAGCTGAATCTCGTCACCGAGGCGAGATCCCTGCTGTGCGGAGGCGGCATTGTTGCTGGCAGCGCCGATGCCGAAGAGGCTGCCGCCAAACTGCTGCTGCTGCTGCTGCTGCTGCTGCGGGTGTGCGTTGCCGCCGCCGCCCGCCTGCAACGAGGCGTGCACGCGGTCCATGCTCTCCTTGACAGCGTCAATCTCGGCCAGGATGCGCTCGGGCAGTGTGAGTCTGGCTTTGGCGCCGGCCGCCGCCGCCGAGCTCTTGCGGACCTCCATGCCGATGAGGGACTCGACCAGCTGCTCCATCTTTGTGCCGAGCTGCTGCGCCTCGGCCTCGGCCTCGAACGGCAAGGTGAGGGCATTGCGGAAGAGGTCCTTGAGGCAGGCGAGCAGCGCAAGCTTCTCGCGGTGGAAGAGGATGCACGCCACCTCGGTCGCTCCACGACCCCAGCGCGCTCGGCCCGAGATGCCGGCCTGGAGGAGCGAGGCCGCGTAGCGCTCCGAGACAGAGAGCTCCCGTGCGAGCAGGAGCGTCTGCTGCGCGAAGTCGGCATTCAGAGACTGCGAGACGCCATCGACGGTGATGTTGCCTGTGCCGTGACGAGGAAGGCGGCAGACAGGTCATGGAAGAGGAGGAGAGAAGCAGCGGCGGAGGCCAGAGTCAGCATCGAGCTGGTACGAGACTGAATGCGGACGCGGACGCGGGGCAAAGCTCGACAGCCAGGGAGGGGCGCAACTCACCCGACTCGATCTCCCTACGTTCAGCATCGTTGCGGGGCTTGACGCGTCCCAGGTCTGCAAGCTCGGCGCGGTTGCGGTCTATCGCAATGTACCAGTCGTTGGAGCGCGAGAGGCGTGCAGGGTTCTGGACGGCGTCGGAGATGAGGCGGTGGAGCTTTTCGAAGCGGGCAGGCGCAAAGACGGCCGAGCCCCCCGCGGCGAGCGGTGACGATGTGGATGCTGCCGTCATGCTGGGCCGGAGTCGCTGGGCGGCGGGATGCAGGTGTATGCTGCAGCTGCGGACGGGCGAGCGGCCAGAGGAGGCTTTCGATCGCGACGCTCGTCTTGTCCTCGGCGGATCAAGGCAGCGTGCGGATGTGCTTGTACAGGGTCGCGGACCCGCTATGGATGCGGTGCGGTTCCAGACTGGATGTCGCTAGTGCTGGCATGCGACGATCTGGCGCGCGCAGTCTGGCGTCCACACTGGTCGCGGAGCGAGGCGAGGCAGCCCAGCTTCGGCACCTCTGGCGACGGAACCAGGGTCTGGACGGTGCGTGCGGGGGGACGGATGCAGAGGGTGAGGGAGAGACAGAACGAAGGAAGCGGCGAGGCGAGTGCGGTAGCAAGGGAGGGATCGCGCTGGGATGTGGGCGGTGCGCGCGTGTGTGTGTGTGAGTGTGTGTGTGTACGTGGTGAGAGGAGAAGTGGTTGGTCGTCGACGAGAAGGACGCGGGTTCGGTGTTGGTGCCACCAATTTTGGTGCGGCGGCCGCTGCTGCTGCTGCTGCTGCCTTTTCTTCACTCCACCCACCGCCAGCCGTTGTGATCGGAGCCGACCTGCGCCTCGCGCACGGCTGCCACTCACTCCCATGTCCTACGTCTGCTCAGCAGACACCCTGCGACACACCGAGCCTTGGCACTCTGCATCGCAAACGTCTCCGACGGTCCACACTCCGAAGAGACAACAGACAAGCTGCTCTGTATCAGAGGGCGGTCTGGGCGAGCCGCCGCCATGGTATTACTGCTGCTGCCGCCAGCCAGTCTCGAAAAAGGAAAAGGCCACACGCGCCACTCGCCCGCCCACGACGCGACCCCTTCAGCGGTAGTACTCGGCCCTCCTGGCATTGATGCCGTACTCGCCCAGCGCCGCACTCAGATCGTCCATCGTGAGAACGGTCCGCGATCGATCCTGTGGCGAATGGAGCAGGAAGGCGGCCAAGGAGCGTCGAGCAACGTCAGTAGTCGAGTTCACCCAGCTATGGGCACCCCAACGGCGACCGACTCACCCTACCACCAGCAGCACCGGATGCCGCCGCACCCGCCGCGCCCGGAGCCTGTCCGCGAGGCCTGCCTCCCGGACCGGCGTTGGTCCGGATCCTGGCGTACTGGAACGCATCGGCCGCAATGTCGCTGACAAATTTTTCTGCTGCGAGCGACAAGAGCCTCTTGCTGTTGTTTGCGTGCGGAGGGCAGGACGGTGGTGGAGGAGGTCAGCAAGTGCAATGCGCATGGGTGTCCGTTTGCAGCGAGAGCGAGGCAGCGAGGCGGCAACTCACAGCCTGACGTCGTGACACTCGAAGCCGACCTTTTCGAGGTAGTGGTCCGTCACCTCGTCGGGTATCAGGGGCGTGTAGCCGTCGAGCATGCGCAGGAACTCGGCGAGCGTGCGGTCCTTTCTCGCCTCCTCCTCTTCTCTCCTCGTCATGGTGTGCTGCTGCTGCTGCGGCTGCTGCGGCTGCTGCGATGCGGAAGCGCCGGGCGCCTGGACGCTCGCACCGGCCACGTCCTCGGCCCCCGCCTGGCCCGACTCGGGCACGGCCCCGTTGTGGTTGTTGGTGGGCGTCGCGGCTCCCGACCTGCTAGGGTCGAGCCCACGTCGGGAGACGTACTTGGAGAGGTCCTCCTGCGTCGCTACGCCCAGCACAAACGCCCTGCCCGGGTCGGTGATAAAGGCGAACGGGTGGTTCTGCAGAAACACCTCGAGCTCGGCCAGGCCCGTGTCGGGGGTGATGACGGTGTAGGTGCCGCCGTTGGATCCGCCCTTGCCCGTGGTGAAGCGGTTCATGATTTTGCCGACGGGGTCGCTACCGGCGGCGGCGCCGCTCTGGGAGTGCGCCTGGAGGTTGCTCAGCTCGACGTAGCCCAGCAGCTTGCGGTCGCGATCGCTGACCAGCGGGATCTGGCTGTAGTCGTGGTCCATGGCGGTGCGCAGCGCGTTGGCGATGCTCGTGGAGCGCGGCAGCGAGATGGCCGGCGGGACCTGCAGGTCCTCGACCGTCGCGCCGCGGTACTTTTCAATCAGGCTGGGCGAGGGCGCCGGGACGGGCGCCACCGAGACGGACTGCGGGCCCGTGATGGGCGCCGTGACGGGCGTGGGCGTGGGCGTCGTCATCGTGGATGAGTGGCGTGGCGGTGTGGACGCAGTAGAAGGAGGCAGTGGTCGAGGCGGTTCCGCGGGTCAGCGGCGGATGGTGAGGGAATGGTGAGAGGAAGAGAGGAGGAGGAGGAGGAGGATGAGGAGGAGGTGGTGGAAGTGCGCTTCGGGGTCCGTGCTGTGATCGACTGCCGCATGAGCCTGCCTTCACGTGCCGAGAGGGGGGCCCTGGCCAACCAACAACCAGCATGCGTATGGGCCCATCCGAATTTTCTTCTGCCGTGCCAGCAGCGGAGGGAGGCCAGGCCAGGCAGGCTCTCTAATCAGGCCCTCGTCTCGGCCCGCGCTCCTTTCTTCCTCTCCTCACTCATTTTTACGTTCACGATTTGTGGGAAGAGGTCTTGACCTCCCTACCTGCCTCTTCCTCTATCTCGTAGAACAAGATCGACGAAGCGTGGACGGCAGGTACGCCCGCCGCACGCCTCCAGCGGACCTGGTCTTACTCGTTTTCTCGCACCTTGGCTCCATGGAGCGGGAAAAGGACCGAGGTCGTACACCCACCCACTCCCCCCTCAGCCCATCCTTCGCCGCCGCTCGCCCCCCCTTTCCCCCCCCTCGCCCTCGACTGTTCAATCCATGCGCCTGTATCGTCCCGACCGCTTCCGCAATCAACATCTTCGTACGCGATGATCCTCGAACAGAAACACTGGTGCACCTTAACGTCCACGATGGCTCGACGACGGCCAGCAGAGCGGCGCGCAGACCGATCGAGACTCGGCGGCCGTCGAGGATGCACGCCAGATCAGGACGGGTCGACGGGGACGATGTGCGATTGCGATTCGATGTGAAGAAGGGCAGCCGTTCCGGATGTGGTGGCATGACATGGCAGTGGAAGAAAAACGAAACACAAACGATGCTAGGATGGAAGGACAGTTGTACAGTGGTGGGTGGCCTCACGCCTTGGCGGCCCGACGACGGGTCGACCTCGTCTGCCTCGTCACCGGGCCGGCTCGCGGCACCTCGACGTGGACCTCGATCGACGCCGGCCCCTCGTCGTTGGCCTTGCGCTTCCTGGCGACGGCCCTGCTGGCGGCGCCCTTCTTGCCAGCAGCCCTGGCCGTCCACGCACTCCCCGACGACGAAGCAGAGGTCGACTGCGACGACGGCGGGGAGCTGGAGAACATGCGCTCCACCTCGTCCTCCTCGTCGACGTCCTCGTTGTCGTCTCGGTCGTCTGCCTTGGCAGTCTTCCCTGCGCTGGCGCTCCGCGGACGGGCCCGCAGCGGCTTGTCGTCGTCGCTGTCGCTGTCGCTGTCGTCCGACGAGATGCTAAAGGGGCTCACTTCTTTGGTGTGGCCGTGTCGCGACGTGGTGGAGGAAGCGTGTGTCGGCGTCGACGTCGCAGTCGACCTCCTGCTGCCCTGACGGACCGTCCTGGGCTGCGGAGGCGTGGCGATAGCAGAAGTGGTCGTCGACGTTGCCCTCCTGCGCTTCGACTGCCGCGTCTCGGTGACGGGGTTGGCATACTCGCTGGCTGCGGTGCTGGGCGAAGGGGCAGACGATGCAGCCTTGGCTGGCGAGGTCGATTGCAGACGCTTGCTGCTCCGGCTCTGGCTCTGGCTCTGGCTCTGGCCCTGGCTCGAGTTGGGCGTCGACGCCTCTTCGAGCTCGGCCAGCGCTTCGCTCGCCAGCCGCGCCGCCATCTCTCCGTGCGAGGCGCGTGCTCGCTTGCCGCGCCTGCTGGCCCTGAGCGAGGAGGGTGTGCAAGGCTCGCTTCCCGCCTCGTTCTCCGTCGTCGTCGTTGCCGGAGTCGTCGCTCCGGCGCTGACCTCTGCCTCTGTAGGGTTCTCGTTGTGGGCGTTGACGGCGTCGGTATGCTCTTCGACATGCCGAGAGCCGTCAGCAGCAGCTGTTGTGCCGGCCGAGTCGTCTGCCGTGCTCGACTCTGATTCGGGCGAGGACTGCGCTGGAGCTGCATCTGTTGCCGCCGCCGCCGCCAGATCCGTTGCCTGCTCCGCTGTCGCGGTCATAGCCGTGCTCTCAGCTTGTTCTGACGGGGCGGCCGACGCTTCTGACGCCTCTTGCGGCTCGGCTTGCTCCGATTGAGTGATCCGATCAGCGCTGCAGGGCGTCAGCATCGCATCCTGTTCTGCGACATGCTCCGCGGCGGGAGCGGGCTCCTCGGGCTCGGCTGACGACTCGGTGGCGGCCACCACGCTGTCGCTTCGCTGCTGATCGGGCTGATCAGGCTGATCAGGCTGTTCGCCTGTGTTTGGCTGCTCGGTCACGACCGCTGCTTTGACCGGAGTCGACGTGACGGCGGGGGCGGGACCTCGCAGCGCACGCTCAAAGGCGGTGAGGGGGTCGGCTTCCCTGCTGCCACCGGCCGAAGCCTTGACGCGAGCCTGTGCAAAGGTGTCCCTGAAAGGCCCATCGCTCACGGCCGTCTTGTCGGCATCGGCCACATACGAGAAGCGCGACTTCTTGGTCGCCGTCGACGACGACGGCTGGAGCGCGCCCGTCAGTCCATCGAGGCTCGAGGTCCGCTTGATCTGGCCAGGTTGCTGGACCTGCAGCGACGACAGCTTCCTGCTGGCAGCGCCGCCGGGCCGACCGAGCGCAGCGGGTGCGTCGCTGCCGGGGAATGGCATCCGGGATGCGCCGTTAAAGGCAAAGGGGAAGCCGCCGATCTGGACAGGCCGCTTCTCGCCCCGCTTGGTCGGTGTCAACTGGCGCATGACGGCCGTCTTGATGTCGTCGCGCTGCTGCTCCTTGCTCTGCGTCTCCCCGCCTGCATGCTCGTCTCGGCCGGATCGTTTGTCGATGGACCGCTTCCACTCTTCGAGAAACGACGCGCTGAACCTCTCGAGCGTGTCGGCGCACTGTGCCTGCGCCGACTTGGAGCCGTGCTGCTTGCGCGCATTGCCGTACATGGCGGCCAGGTCGGTCTCAAAGTCGAGCACGACGGCCTTGGACGCCTTGACGCTGTCCGTGAGGTGGGCGCTGCCGTAGGCCTTGGTCTGGATCGCCTCGCGGATCGTAAAGAGGTCGACCTGCCGCAGGTTGGCGTGGGGGCCGTGCATGGCAGCCATAGTCAGCGGCTCGCGGAAGGCTGTGTTGGAGCCGTGGGAGAGGAGCTGCAGCACGAGGTTGTCGATGTAGCGGTACGTCTTTTCCACTTCGGCGTCCGGGACGACGGCAGCGACGGGCGCGGGCTCGGGCGCGGGCTCGGGCGCGGACGCGGATGCGGGCTCGGGTTGCTCGGATGATTCGACCGCTGGCGATGCCTCCGCCTCGGGCTCGTCCGAGGGCGTTTCGAGCGCATCCATTTGGACGTCTTCGATGGCGTCGCTCTGGTCGAGCACCGGGCCGATTTGGTCATCGTCGATCTCCGCCGATCGGACGTGCGCCTCGACCGCTGCCGGCTTGATCGCCTCGGTGACGGTTGCTCGCGGCTTCTCGGCCAGAGCAAGGTCCTCTTCCGTCACCCGCTTGAGCTCCGAGCCGGCCGTCAGCGCGTTGGTGATGTCGCTGATCGAGAATGCGGCCTTTTGACGGGCGGCCGAGAGATCGCGCGTAGGCGACTGGATGGGCGAGCTTGCCTGCTCATCGCTGCCGCCCGGGTGCTGGTGCTGGTGCTGGTGCTGGTGTTGGTGGGACCTGAGCATCTCAGACGCTCGCTTGCGCTCCGAGGACCGATAGGGCGAAGACGAACGGCTGCCGCTTGAAGGCGGCGTGTCCAGCGGCAGGTTGTCCGGATGCCGCTTGCGCGGGGGCGAGATTAGGAGCGATTCGCCCGTACCGGGGTGGGTCGCCGAGGACTCGAAGAGCGTGTCGAGGCCAGATGCGTTGTCGTCTGCCGTGATCGTTGTTTCCGCTGTTGCTGTTGGTGTTGGTCTTGCTTCTGTCGGCGTGATCTCCTGGAGGCAATCGTGCTGCTCTGCCTGCTCCATTGCCGACTCTTCGTTGCTGGGCGGCACGTCCTCTGTCGCGTCTGCAGCCTGGACCATCCCGCTCCGGGCCTCCTCGAGGCGCCTCTGCCTCCGCGCCTCCTTGTCCTTTTGCTCCTGGAGGACCCGCTTTGCATGGGCCTGTCGGGCGGTCAGCCCGTCGCCAAAGTGGATGCTGGGGTCCCGGTGGGCGTGCGAAGCGGAGCTCTTGCTCGGCGCGGGCATGGGGCTGCGCGTCGAGAAGATGGACTTGGAGGCGGGCGAATAGAGGTCGAGCGACGCTGTCCTGCCGACGTGTGCGAGGAGGGGACGGGCGGGAGTGCCGATCGACGACGAGGGCGCATTGGCGTTGAACTGAACCGAGCTGGGCTCGTCCCACCGGACGCGGTTGCCCAGCTGGCGCTTGGGCGTGGCGGCCACCCAGCGAAAGACGAGGGCCTCTCGGTCGCGGACGAAGGGCATGGTTTCCTGGAGGAGGATGGCGCGCTCATCGGTGCCGAGGGTGATTACGGGCGTCTTGTCCGGAGGCAGCGAGAAGAGGCTCTTTGCCTTTTCGATGAGCTCGTCGAGGGTGTCGGGCAGGGCGACAAAGTACGACTTGGAGTTGGTCGAGGGTCCCTTGAGCACGACTGCGCGCGGAAGCGGTGCCGATGTCGAAGCCATGGTCGCACTGCCCCGGGGATGGATCGTGGTTTGGGGCGCAGAGCGTGTGTGATGGAGACAGACGGGAGGCAGTGACGAATTGATGCTGGGAGCGACGGGGTGGTTGCCGCGTAAACTCGAGACGAGCGACGTGCTGGCGTCGACACTGGACAGTCGCAGCACAGACGAGACGGCGACCGGATTCGATATTCTTGTGCGAGGATGGCGACGGAGGCGAGTAGCGTGCGGTGGTGGACGAGGAGCAGGGACCAAGCGTCGACCGGGTATGAATGTGAGTGGCTGAGGATGTCCTTGAGTGATGGTGATGAGGTGGCAGGGGAGCGTGATGAGCAGAGGGCAGAGAGCAGAGGGCAGAGAGCGGAGGGCAGAGAGCGGAACCAGAGAGCAGCCGACCGTGGCGGAGAGGGAGAGGGGGAGGGAGAGGCCGGTGAGTGCGGTGCGAGGCTGCCTGGTGGGCGTCCTGGCAGAGGGCCCCTCGTCTAGCCAGTCGAGTCGAGTGCAGAGCGGTCAGGCCTCTGCTCCAGCGCCGCGCCATTCTCGCCTTCTTCGCCCTTTGCTCTGAAAAGGCGCGACGCGACCTGCGCAACCGACGCGCCCCCGCGTCTCTTTGGATGTTCAACTGGAGCCGGGCCCGCCTGCCTGGCTCGCTCGCTCATGCCGCGCTCGACGTGGTGGCTCGCCAGGCCTCTGCCTGCAAACGGGGCCACACCACTTTACGCGTCGGTCGACTGCAATTCGGCACCGAGAACAACCTCACGCATGCACACGCACACGAGAGCAGGAAGGGAGGCAGCCCGTCCAGCTTGACGATTCCAGCAAGTAGACAAGAAAGCCGGCGGGGGGCAGGCCTAGCACGACGACTCCGGCGGACAGGCAGGCCGACGCAGGCGGATGCGAACCCTTCAGACGCTCCTCTGGCTGTCGATTTCGTCCTGCTGCCGGTGTGCCTCGGCGGTGGTGGCGGGCGAGAGCGACCTGAGCCGCTCCCGCGCCCTCGCCAGCAGGCCGGGACCAGCTTCGGGCCGCAGTCCCAGCCGTTTCCGCAGGCGGTAGATGATGCCGCCCTCGGCCGATCGCTCCACGTCCGAGTAGACGACGCCCTGGCCGGCCTCTCCGCTCAGGTTGCGCCACACGCTCTCGTCGGGCTCGCCGCGGTACCGCCTCTCCTCCCTCTCGCCGCTGCCACCGCCGCCGCCGACGAGGCCCACACCGCCACTGTCGCCGTCGCCCGCGAGACCGTCGGCATGCTTGGCCTCTTCGTCGTCGCTGACGATCGGATAGCCGTCGCGGATGGCCTTGACCTGCGAGTAATGGCCCGACCACCACCACAACCGCAGCTTCTGCAGCGGGCCCAGCGGGTACCCGTCCAGGAATGGCGGCCGCAGCGACTCGAGGATCTTGAGCTTCTTTTCCGGGATCGAGGCGCGCCGGAACTGCTCGTCCTTGGTCAGCTGCTGCTGCGGCGAGGCCCGGAAAGTCGGGTCCAGGCGGTCGCGCGTCCACAGGATGCCCTGTTGCGACTGCGGGGCGAGGCGCACACAGGACGGGCCGAGACGGGGCGGGGTCATAACGAGGCGTGTCAGCAATGCTCGATCAATGTCCTTGCGGATCAGAGAAGCGCCGGCGACGACGGCATCGCTACTCACAGTGTCCTTGTGCGCCACGAAGCGATCCAAGCCAAACTTTTCAATCCTCCGCCGCAGCATGCCGATGCCGACGTGCGACTCAATCTCGGCTGTGGTGATCGTCTTGCAAAAGTTCCGCCAGCGCAGACCGAGGTCCGACGAGGCGCCGGCGGCGGCGGCATCGAGCTGCTGCGGCTGCTGCTCCCGCTCTTTGCCCTTGCCCTTGTCCTTGTCGTTGGGTGCCATGAAGCCGAAGCGCTCCTTGAACGCGAGGCCCTCGGACACGGCCAGAACGGTTGTGTGGTCGATGTTGCGGCTCCAGCTGCGCATGGTGCGTCCATTCTTTGTGCGGCCCATGAGGCTCTTGGAACCCAACGACTCTGACTCCTTGCGCGCACCGGCTCGCGGCGGGAAGAGGTCGAGCTCCACCTCGCTCTCCTCGAGCACCCAGCTCTCTGCGTTTTTGATGAGGCCCGCGGGCGCCCACTTTGGCAGGTTGCCCCGCTTCAGGATGAGGCGGGTGGTGCAGAGCACCGGTATCGTCGTCTCGGAGGGCGAGATAGAGGATGACGAAGAGGCGGATGAGGAAGAAGCGGAGGCGGAAGCCTGGAGGGACCGCGCTGGCTGATGGCTGGCCAGCGGGCGGTACTCGATCCGACGATCCAGGACATCGACCGAGAGGATGTGCGTGGCGTTCGGGTTGGGGTAGCGCAGGTAGTAGGCGCGCACGCACGACGACCAAGAGTGGCTGCAAAGATCACCGACCGAGAGCGAGGCGTCTGGGTCAGCTCACCGGCCGCGGGTCTGTCGCCATCTCGGCGGGCGAGCCTGTCTGGACACTCACTCGTAGGCCGACTCGTGGACGAACTCGCGCACCATGGCGGAACGGTGAGGAGGAGCGAGATGTGGTCTAGGATGATAGCGGGGGGGCGTGCATGCCCCTTCTAGGGTTGCGTGGGCCGGCAAGCAGGTAACTTAGGTGGCTGGCAATATTGAGGTGATGGAGGATGAGCAGAGCGGCTCGACGTGCGGAAGCCGTCGCCCCCTCCACGCTCCGTCGCCCTCTTTTTTTCCAGCCTCTCTGCGCCGTCGGCCCGAGCTGGGGCCCCCACGTCGCCCGACTTCGCCTGGCCGCCTTTTTAGCGCACCCTGGCACACGAGCTGCTCATCGGCCACAAGAAGGTCCTCTCTGGCAAAGCATACGTGTCGTCGTCGATGGATGGCATCGCCGGTCTGCACTTCGCTGTTCGTCGTTCAGCGCGGCACCCCGCCGTCGCTGGTACAAGATACATGGCCGTCTATCGCGCATCGGCAGGGTCGGAGCATCTATGTTACTGAGCGACGCAGGAAGCCTACTTGAGCCTGGCCAGGTTGTCGATGCCCTCCTTCTCGAGGCGCATGCCCTGCCAGCCGTCCATGGACTTGGCGCCCAGGACCTTTGTGTAGAATGCAATCGACGGCCTGTGGTGCAGAGGCAAAGGGGAGAGAAAGCAGGCAAGGTCAGCCTCGAACGTCGCGCCTCGTCCACGAGCCCAACGCGTAGTGAGAGCCTCGGCATGCACCCACTCGTTCCAGGTGAGAACGCTCCAGTCCATCCGCCCGCATTCCTTTTCCTTTGCCACCTCGCCGAGTGCGCGGAAGAGCATCTTGCCGATGCCCTTGTTGCGCAGCGGCGGGTTGACGAAGAGGTCCTCGAGGTAGAGCGACGGCTTCGACGTCCAGGTCGAAAACGAGAAAAAGTACTGCCAGAGGCGGGGAGCGGATGCATTTGAGAAGGCCATGGGGTCGAACACGAGTGACAGTCAGACGGTTTTATCGTGTCGAGAGAGGACGACGCGCACAGCTTCCGCAACGTACCAGAGCCATGCCGACGGGCTTCTCGGTGCCGGCGACCTCTTCTTCGGCGATGAGGACCTCGGCGTACTTTTTCTCAAACACGTTGCGGCGCAGCTGTCGAGGGGGCGAGGGGCGGCGCGGCACGGAGGTTGGTGGGTAAGCCGAGGGGATCAGGGTGACGAGGATATGCCGTGAGGACGCGCAAAGGGTCGAGGGCCTGCACCTACCGTCTCCTCGGTCGCCTCTACGGCATCGGGCTCCTTTTCGTAGAGGGCGAGCTGCTTGATCTGCAGAGGAGGGGGGGGGGNGGGGGGGNGTNANATGCCGTCGGTGNNGGNGGTCGTATGTGCNGTCGNNGTCGNNNTGTGCACGGTGGTCGCNCAAGTACGNGGAGTG